ACCTCCGTTTCACGCCAAAGGTTCTGCACTATACTGGAGTTTGCCGTTGACCCTTCAAGAGTTCATCCGGATACGATTCCGATCAGCCATTTCTATAACATGTTTTACAACATGGGATACACAGAGGTTCTTACCTCTGTCGCCAAGTTTAAAAAGTCTTGCCTGCCGCCCCAGTGGAATGGTCTTTTTACAGTCCTTTTCAAGGGCCTGTCGGAGAGGAGCTCAGGATCTGACGGTGCAAGTTGTCTTTTCCTGTCGATAATGTATGGGGTATACAACGGGATAAACCTGGACTATGGGTTTGTCCTATGGCAACAGCTGATTAAGAGCCTCTCTTCCTCATCCCGACACTCTGAGGTGTCGTTGGCCCGGTTCTGGATCTTGATAACAAGATGGGCCATGGACAAGTTTGATGTTCCAACTGCTGATGGTGCATCGATGTCTTCTATTGGTACGTTCCATACCAAGAAGATCATCGTCTCAGATGCATCAAAATTTTCCTTCATTGGCTCCATCCCGGAGACAATGTATGGTATTGTGCCCTCCGACAGCAGACTGATCCGGACGATCAAGGAGTTTAGGCCATCTGGTCCAAGGGAACTGACACCGGACATGCTGAGATCAATTCATGATGCCGACAAACCGGTGGGCAGGGGCAAAAAGGCAGAGAAGGGGAAGCAAGTGTCCAAAGCTCCAAAGGGACCTTCTCCCAAAAAGAGGAAACAACCGAAGGCTGCTTCATCCCCACAGCCGAAGAGAAGGAAGACCCAACAGAAGTGAAAGCTACTTATTCCCTCCTCTTCAAGCGAATCTGAGGGTGGAAGTTCGGACTCTGAAGGATCTCAAGGAGACGAATCTCCTCAACGAGGCAACACACCACCTCGGTCCCCAACCCCAGAGATGGAACCTCATCAATCTCCAGTTCCTTCACCTCCACCAACTATTCCTATTTCCATTCCCACCATAAACCCCACTATTCCTCCAACCTCTTTCCCTATACCTCCACCCATCTTTACCACATCAACCGAAACACCACCAGTTACCGAAACCCCTCCAGTAACCGAACCACCACAACCCCAACCCACAACACCCCCAGCTTCTCCACCCCCTCCATCTCCAGAAGACGCCTCCGATAGCGACAACCAATACCTTGGTGGGGATCACATGAACTTCGATTCGGTCTACTATAGTCCGTTTCAAGTTCAAAGTGACGAGGAGGATGATGCTCCAGTGACAAAGAAGCATCTCCGAGAGCTAAACAAGAAGGTTGATCTACTTCTCGCCTCCTCCACCAACCAGCAGTCATCTCTTTCTGAAGCTGCCCTTCAGAAGATTGTTGATGCCTTTTCAAGGGCTCAACATGATTCGATGGCCTCAGCAACTGCTGCAATCTATGCCTCCACCCGAGCCTGTGAGGCTGCGACCGAAAAAGTCGATAAACTATTCACCGACGCTTCCGTCCTGCTAAAGTCCTTGCAGGAAAGCGCCGACGCCACCAAGACAACTCTGGAACCGATTGTTCAACAATTGACCAAGTTTGTCTCGACGGAGCTGTCTTCGTTCGCTACACTCCGACAACATATCAGCGACGACAACTCGGCACTTCGTGCCTCCATCGATGCCCGCCTGGCAAAGCTACAAGAGGATCTTGCAGCCGAGAATTCTCTGATGGACGTCTTGGCGAGTAAAACAACCGCCCTCAAGGTCAAGAGCACGCAACTTTCCAACTCCCAACAACAATTGGAAGCTCTTCGATCCGAACGGGAGGTAATAAAGACGTGTGTTTCGGATGTCCACGCAGCGTTATCAAACATCCTGGAAGCACACGACCCCATCCTAAACCATTCGGTGAGGCGTACCCTCGCTGAAAAGCTCTCTCCAGCCATGGACCTTTTAAGCAAGATTGAAGGCCTACCGAGTTTCGTGTCCATTCCGAAACAAGGGGGAGATGAGAAGAAGGGATCGAAACCACCTCCTTCCTCCAAAGCTACTCACGCAACCGAACCACCCTCTGCTGATCATGCTTCGGGTTCAGGTGTGAGGAACAAGGGTAAAAACATAGCTGAGGAAGATGAAGATGAAGATGAAGACAAGGAGACCATTGCCGACATGTTAAAAAGAAAGAACAGTCGCAATGCTGAAGGCAATGCCAGTCGTGTGGCGCGTGAGGCTGAAGAAGCCGAACGCAAGCAAAAAGAAGCCCACGATCTCCTTGAGAGCCGAAAGTTGCTCTTCCCTGCCTGGACCAGGGAACGTATGATAAAAGAGGCCATAGAAACTCCAAGCATATTATGGCTCGAGCCGGTTATATCATTCGACTGCAACAACACTGTCGATTCGCAATTTGATATGCCGCTGACTCGAAAGGCGTTCATCTTCCACGCCTTCTCTAACATTTTCGAAGTCCCGCATCCGAATGATGAGCTTGACAGGGAGCTCATTGACTTCTACCTGGAGGCTGCTCGTCCTCAATATCTTACCTGGAGCGCCCAGAAGATTGTAAACGTTCGGGTACTGAAGCCTTATGCCGTGGGGAGATTCACAAACGTTAAGTTCAAGCTCATCCGAGGATCTGCAAGAACTGCCCACATCATCTCCCTGGCGGATCTGCCCAATCTAAATCCTCATGACTGGATTGTCTTATACAATATCCTTTTGACTGATGAAACCGAATATGGTCCCATCATAGACCATGTCAAAAGGATGTTGGCCTGCTATATCATGGAGGTTGTCCTAATGGATCAGGAGGTCGCCACAGTTTTCAAAAGGAAACCGAAGATAGCACCTGTGGGATCAGCCAGTGATCTAAACCAAATGCAAATGGGCAAGATTGATCCGAGGCGAAACTCAATAATGTTCACTAGAGCCGAAGGACAGGAATGTTTCTTCACTTTAGCTGACAAACACCTTTACACCACAGCTTGCTTGGAGCACATCTTATCAATTATCAAGCGGTGTAAAGACAATTCGGCTGATGACATCAAGTACTTCAATGATATGATCAATTGGTACATCCGGTTTAGACAGACCATCCTCTCCATAACCAGGTGTCTGTTTAGCACTGTGAAGAAGAAGGTACCAGCTTCAGCTGCCGGCCCAAGTAAAAAGTAAAGGTCTCGCTCCAAATTGACGCAAAGGGGGAGATTGTTGGGCTGAAGTTTTATTTTGATGTTGCGTCTTTTGGGCTCGTTAGTTTAGCCATGTATACTCCGGTTTGGGCCTGTCCAACCGAGAGCCTTTTATGTATTGTATATAAGTTAATGCTTGCATGCATATTAGGTCAACAACAAGATAGATTTTACGATTAGCGATTCATCTAGAGAAAAGAAGGTTTCTTTAATCGTTCTTGTAACCTCTCAATCCTCTACAGTTGATGTTCTTAATCGAGCTCTTCTGAGGATTTTGTTTAAATCATTCGACACGTTTGATTCAATCTTGTCTTGTTCTAATTATTGCGTTCTTACTGTTTTATATTCATATACTTGTTCAAGATCTAATCGATCTTCATAGATTAATAGTTATTTTAATCCGATCAAGTAGTTTATCAAAAACTCACTTTTTACATCATTCGGTGTCATATCGGTTTTGTCGCAGATCTTCGATTGATCATAACTTCTTTTTTATAACTCGGATTTCGATGAGGTTTTCGCCTAAATGTTTCTAACGAGATTCTTTACAACTTTAAATAATAAAATTATACTTATTTCAAATTTTATATTTTCGTTAAATTTCAATATTTTCCTTTTGATTGGAATCTCATAAGATTTCCAATATTTTCCGAGTGATTCTAAACATAGTTTCACTTCATTTCTAGTAAAAACTATCTGTTAGAACTCAATACTCAATATCACATAATATTTCATAATATTATTTACTTTTAACATTTACAAAATACGATTTTAAAACGTGTATGTTACATCCCAGGACATGAAGAGTTGCTGGTGACAGGTGCCTTCGCCCAAGGTCTGCTCCCTGGACCCCTATCAAGGAAGATGCAAGGAATAGTTCCTAGATCCATGGATGAACTCGAGTTCCGTGTGGAAAAATACCTGCAACATATCGAAGAGGAGGGGTGAAAGGAAGGTAATCTCAAAGTTGTAGCTAACGCATATCTCAAACAGGAGGAAACGGTGTCCCGGCCGAGCTCAGCCCAGTAAGAGAGGAAAGATGGAAACCAACAGAGGCACAAACATCATTCCAGGCACATGTCACGGAGGTATAGACCATTCAATCAGGATGATAGTAGGAGTGGTCATAACGATGTGCACACAATCAATAAGACTCTAGCAAAGAAGAACAAAGACAAGACCAAGTTCTATGACTATCATAAAAGCAAAACGCATGATACCAACCAGTGCACGGTATTGAAGCGGGAGATCGATGAGAAACAACTAGTGGGAAACATAGTCGACATAGCAAAAGACCTCGGGGAAAAATTCGATGAGGGTAAGCACCAACCAAAAAATCAAAAGGATGGAGGAAAGGATCACGAAAGAAGGACAGAGATACTTACCAGTAAAAGGCCCCGCTTATGTAGCAATCGCCAGAGCCAGCACGTAGGCACAAAGGTATACCATCAAAACATCCTTAACATAGCATTTTTAATGAACGACCCCAGTCCATAGCACTTGGATCCAAATGACCCTTTGCACATCACCGATTTCATTAGCCAAAGCCGTTCTGAACAAGTGAACATCAATACCGGGAGTAGGGTCAACGTGATTTATGAACACTGCCTTCGACAGTTACCAATTGAATGGAAAAAGAACCTCGAGATACCACACTAGGGCCTGCTAGTTGAGTTCACTGGTCATGGCATCTAGCCAACAGGAATAGTCACGCTCCCATTTACATTGATCAGTCATGATGGAACCAAACATATAACAAGGGCGCTCGAATTATCGGTTGTTGACCGCTCGACTAATCACAATATTCTACTAGGTCAGCCAGCGCTGTCCTGACTACAAGCGTTACGTCTACTCTTCACGGTGTTCTCAAATTCAGCACGAGTGATGGATCGGCAACGGTAGTGGCAACCAAGCCAGGTAATGGATGTGACACCCAATGAGAAAGGAAACAAGAAACCCAGTTGTGTCGAAGCGAATGTTGTCAGAAGGTGGAGGATCCACAGCGGAGGCCCTTCTCGTGCAACAAAACTGGTGGAAGCCGTCATAATCTAGCTTCCCCAAGCGAAAGAGGCCCACGAAATTCGTCTCAGCAAAGAACGATAGAGTAGTATCCATATCTTCGGCCCTTCTCGTGACACGACTAGGATCCAGGACTTCAGGTTCACCGGCAATTGTGGAACAACCACCTAGTTGTTTCCCCTTTTCAAACCTAAGGGCCTCACATGCCTCACGAACACCCTGGATCCCATTGGAAAATTCCACACTATCGATAACTTTATCAATTACGTGAACCACCCCCTTCTCCAGCATCCATTGCAAACCACCTCGGGCGACAACACCATCAACACCAGCACGGGCCAGTTGACTTTGGCACCTGGCCAACTCACTTGCTAGCACACCCTTCTCTTGACTAAAAGAAGTCACTTGGATTTTGAGTCACTCTGTTTGGTCCTCCAAAGTGGGGAAATGATCTTCCAAAGAGGATTTCTCATAGGCCACAAAACAATTCTGCTCAGAAAGGACTCGATGATCAGCCTCTGAATCATAGAGTTCCTCCCTTATGCTTGTCATGACACCTTGCAAAGTTTTCAACTGTTTTTCATTCACGTTGGCACAACAAACCCGGTCGGTGGCAGCAACCATAAGGGCAGAAGTCTGAGTCGCGGCATAATGAAGGTCACCAGCCATACGAGCGCTTGATTGGCTTGCAAGTGAATTCATTGTGGCTGGGGGTGAGAACAACGGATCCACTCCTGGGTGGCAATGTCTTTCGATAGTAATGATCGTTTTTGGTCATAAGACATCCTATGTGCTCATACAAACCCTAATGCTTGGATCTAGGTTTCTCTATTGTACATGCTTTGAATCCAAGACTATAAACCCTAATTCTAGTATATGAAATTGATATTAACATATGAATGGGTTTAAGAACATACCTTGATTGTTATATAGCAATAACAATCCTAAATCTCCTTGTATTGACTTTGGAAGGCTTAGAGTCACAAGTGTCACTCCTCTAATGGCTTACAAACACCAAGAACAAATGGAGAAGGTATAAAGAGAGAGGAGAGAGATTGAATTCGTCCCTAAGGAGCCTTGGGAAGGTCTTACACGAATTCATGAGCCAAGGGGTGTTTATATAGGTGTTCAGATAGGGTTTTAGTCCTTATCCTTATCTAGTTGCTTGCCCACCAAGTAACCATAAGATAAGTCTTAGAAACCCTTATCCTAGTCGAATTCTAAGGCATTATCTCCTTAAATTTGTTCACCCTATATTTAAGATAATCCTTACCTTATTTTGTAACTATCACATAATTACAAATCAGCCCCTCTAGTTTAATTAATTACACTTGATCACAAAATTAATTCCTAATTAATTATTGACCAATATTAATTAAACAAATATGATTTCTCCTTTAATATATTATTCTTATAAAATATTAATAAATCATAATAACCTCTCTCTCTTTATTTATTTATCCAATCAAGTTGCTTTGGTGAAGGCAACCCAAAAGGACCATGCACCATCGGGTCAAGTACATACCAAAATAGTTATGGACTTAGACACTAATCCAACAGTCTCCCACTTGGATAAGTCTAATAACTATTATGCGCATGACTTCAGATCCTGATCTGCAATCGTAGCTTTCCAAAGCCGCTGTCAACTCTGATCCTATCAGATACGCGTGTCCTTAGATAAGGGATCATATATTCCTCCATTCTAGATATCGTATGAGATATGATTTCTAATCATTCTCTTTGTACTACTTCTCGATTCCCGATTTATGACGACAGACTAATTGAACAAATCAAATTAGCCCTATCCCGGCCGAGCATTTACGTTTGTCATCACTAAACCATCGAGGGGCCTAAAGATATCGCTTTTATCCTTCTTTGGATAAAAGGAATGGATAAACTTTGATACAATGTTCACTTGCACTTACTCACCGAATCACACACAACAATATGTTTTATAACACCAAGTTACTAGTGCGTTTACATATTATCAATGTGCAACCGATTAGCAAGATACAACTCACACATCTCGGTTTCAAGAATATAAGATGTTATCGTCTCACCAATCACTCGTGATACAATTCATGGAGTGATCCAAGTGAGCGTGGGTTTAATCCAATGCTCAAATTCATATTCATAAGCACTCATGAATGTTGCAGCAAACATTTGCTTATGTCTAATACTCTTTTAGACAATCCACACACCAATTCACGACAGTCTTCATTCATATCTACTTCCAACATATGAACGACTGTGGCCCGTTTGAATAATTTGATTATTCTTAATAAACTCAATTATTCTGGAAGTCAAAACATGCAAAGTGAAACACAAGAATAATACTAATCCCATATGGCCTTAACCCTTTGAGCATAAATAAAACACCTTTTTATTTATCACCATACAGATTACTCATTATTTGTCGTTTCGGGTAATCAACTTCTTACTTGAATTACTACACTTGTCCCATGCTCCTAGCATGCACACAATGTTCACCTATGGTTCTTACTTTGTGAAATAAATCAAATTGAACACATTTCCAATCATTCTCATTTCACAACTCCAAATCCTTTTTTCATAAGTAAAAGAATATCAAATTCTCGCTACTTACAGAATATGCTAGATTCTAATATTCTATGCAATGATTCTTTCGTAATGTCACTGCACCAAAGTCACAAAGACTATTGCTAATGATATTACAAAGTCCTTTAACGGAGATTGTTACAAGACAATTCCTTAGATATGATGTCTCTCACTCAAAGTACATTCCTTTGAACATCCTTTTGCATAAAAGTTTCTAATCTAGTCATAAATTTTTAATATTTACTTCCCAGTATGGACACGCTTCCATATGTTCCATATGACAACTCATTTCTTAATAGAATCTTTTTCAATTCATCATAAATTCAATACGGTCCATTAATACCATGCTTCCAACTACTCACAAGCAACCAATCCTCATCGAACTTTGGATTGTCCTTTGATAGTTGTTTAATTATTTTAGTCAAAACCGATTCTAGTCCCTTTTCCTCTAAATGCGCTAGACATTTGGAAAATTTTAGAATGGTCAAACATTAAAGCATTTGCATTCGATCCTTTACCCGAAGCGTATGGGACACGATGCACAATGTTTTATTTGCTATGTTCTCAAAATTCGAATTGTGAAAAAGAATTCTTTAATCATAATCGAAATTTTAAGAACACACTATGTACCTTTGACTAAATTTATTAACATTTCTCAACCTAAGCCTTTAGATTTGAAATGAAGCATAATATTCTCTCCCTTAATTATAGCAAAACAACTATACAACCCTTATGACTTTGCAAGGTATAACTCTTGTTTTCTATAATTAATATTGCCAACTTGCAATGCGTGCCTTAATAAACATACAATAATAACATTTATGCTCCCACTATCATGATGATTATTATAAAACATAACACTTATGCTCCCACTAGCTTTGACATGTATTCATAAACATATTAACTTTCAGAAAACAATACCTATTGAATTTCTTAAGTCAATGTTTCTAATACTTAGTACTTTGATAATCCTTTATCAAAGCTCCTTGAACTTATACACCTTTGCCTTAGATAGTTCATATGTGTGTCTAAACAACTAAAACTAATTGCCAAACCTCACAATTCAAATTATGGAATGGGATACCGTAACCATGATCGAATTCGAGAATGCAATTTTACAATCACTATTTTCTTAAAATCTTTCTTAGTGAAAGCATTTCCTCACAATCATTTTCATGAAGGAGGAAATCTTATGACACTTAGATTTAAAGCGGTGTATTTGTTCCTATCCATCTGAATTTGTTAAAACCAGAGTTTACGACAAATTCAAACTCATATGGACTGAACTTTCTTAATCTTGATTTCTTGCCTTATGGTAGCACAGTTGCCCACCACGTCTTCCAAGTAGTTAAGAAGATCACGTTTTCTTATCAATGTACCTTCCATTGATTAAGGTGCCTTGCCTTTTACGCGTTCAAAAATGAGAACTCATAGAACTTACATGCATAATTAACTCAATTGGAACAGCACAGAAACAAAATAACGTCAACACGATAGGTTGCAAACCTCAAATTGTGTGCTAGTGATGATCAATAAGGTTTATTTGATTTGTTCTTGAAACCTTTCCAGACCATTAAGACTCCCACTGACTCCTTGACATATAAGATTCTTTTGTCAATAAACATTTCTTGACAAACAAATATTCAAGAGTTAGTGTAGTTTTTATCAAAACACTTCATAAATTGGTCCTAGTCGGTCTTTGTCTTATTCAAGACATCACAACTTTCCACATTTGATGAATGTTATAAACCTTTAATACTTTTCACTCATTGTCACAATCTTAACTTTAAGACTTGTTATTGGAACGAAGTATGATTGACTTTTTGATTTAACCATTTCTTCAATTCTTGATTCCTCTTCTTAAACATACAATTGTACTAAGACTCACTTAGAGGATCAATTAAGATATGTTCTTAATCATAAAGACCTATCATAAAGCATAAAAGGTACTCTCCCTTCTTCTTAGAATGGAGAAACTTTTATTTTTCTTCCTACTTGATTCTTCTTATTCATTTTGCTATTGATTTAAACCTTTTTAATCAATTCCGAATTACACTTAATCTTATAAGTATAATCATATTTACTAAACCTTTAGTAAATCATGACGAATATCTTGTTACTCTTATGGTGGACTTTGATCAACACACAACTTTGTGTACTCGATCTCCTAGTCCTTCACTTGACACTTTGTCAACGAATTTGTCTAATTTCCAAATATGAAATTTCTCATTCATCATGCAACCAAGTTTCATGATTCCATATTTCAGTCCAATTGAAATTTGGGTGATGAGAAACTCTCCCTATTTGGTAAATTCTCGACATTTCCGTAAATAACATAACTAAGAATCATATTCATTCGTTGTAGAAATATGCAAACATCAATTTTCATAACGATTTCATTGCAAGGAAGTAAACAAATAAATAAATAAGTCAAACAAAATTTATTTTATTTATAAAAGCAGCGCAAAACATTTGTCCTTACAATGCAAAATCCATTGAAAACTATGTATTTCAAAAAGAAAATTTCTAACAACTCTATCATAACTATCTAAGCTCAAAATCTAATCTTCAAGTCCATGCGATCAAGATCCATTCCTTGTGATTAGATTCATCTTGCTCTTTCATCAAGCTTCCTTTCTTTTCATCGATCCTGCAAAACATTCAAATGCAATCTTATCACATCATGTATTAAGAATCAATGAATAGGAACTTAACGGAGTTAGATAGTGGATTTTACCTGAAGCGTAGTCATACTTTTGACTCTCCCATCTCTTAGATCTCTTAGGTAAATAGGGCAACTTCGTCTCCAATGCCCCTTCTCTTGGCAATAAAAGCAAATTGACTCTTTTGGAACAACACATGGAACTACTTCAGACATTGCCTTTCGCTTATGATCAAACTTTTCGATCATTGCATGTCTTTCATTGCCATTGTTTATATCCATAGAGATCTTGAAGGCAGATTCACCAATCAACTTTGCTTTTCTATCGCACCAAACCATTGCTGATTCAGCAGCAATAAGCATATAGGTGAGATCAATAAGGGTCACGTCGTGGTTCATCATATAGTACTCTCTTACGAACTCACTATACGAGTTAGGAAGTGACTGAAGAACCCAATCAACAGCCATCTCTTCACTGACAACGGATCCCATCATTCTTAACCTATCAATGTGTGACTTCATCCCTAAGACGTGTGCACACACCGACTTTCCTTCTTTATGTTTACTTGCCAAAAGGGCTTGAGTGATATTGAACCTTTCAATTTTACAATCTTGTGGGTTAGGGAGAATAATTGGAGGAGGAGGAGGAAGTGAATCATGATTTCTTGTTCCTCAATCAAATCGTGGAATATCATCTTCATGTGGAATGCTTGTTCCACGGGATTTGGGAAGACCATAGTTGTCGAACTTTGACATCTACAAAACGGGACAAACAAATTCAAGTTAGTTGATTGATTGATTGAGTCCTTAGTAAATCACCCAAATGAGATACTAAGGCTAGGACCCAACACAATATACTACAACCTAGAAAAGGGATGTCGTAATCTAGTTGCAGAATATTTGAAGGTAAGTGAATGACGATTCACTAATTTCCACCATGAAAAACAAAAAAGAAATTTAAGTTTTTAAATCTATGAAAACTCCTAGATCCTTTGAGATTCATTGAACTTTCAATGGCATGTTTAAATCTCAATATGCCCCTCTTGTTTGTGATTGGGATGCCGAGGATCACAAAGCGAGTGTGAATAACCATGCAAACTAACATGGTGCCCTCACATGTTACAGTCACCTATTCGATGTGCCGGTAAACCACACACGCTCCACCGAACTATGACAAACATTAAGTCACCCTTTGCTACCTTTGCTTAGAACCATTTAGTGTCCCGGTAAACCACACACGATCCACTAACGTCTTCGCAAGGGCACAAAGTGTAATTTCATGGAATTGCATCAATTCACTTTTTCCTAAGTAACTAAGATTGGGAATTTGAAAAACATTTAGTTACTTTGTATTTCATTATACTTATAATGGAAGGTTTCGTCCTATCCTACCCGTTCGGCTAACGACCCTCCACTAGTCAAGAGTGCGGTGGGTAAGAGTGGATACCCATTCAATCGCCATTTTATAGGCAATTTCCTTAAACACCCCTTATAGACTAGCTTCGTGAATGAGGCCTACTAACGGTAAGAATGACTTTTACTCATACATATATATAATGTCAGACTTTTAATGTTATATATATAGTATAGGGTGTATTTTATACTTTTTAAAATACTAGGTGATCAAATTTAACAATTATACTTTTAATTCAATTAAATTGTAAACCTAACCTTTTATGGATTTATTAAACTTCTTTTAATTATACACCTTAATTAATTAATAAAACCATAAGGGTGTATTTGAACTTTTCAAAACATTACTAGGGTTTTAGAATTTAACATTCCTAATTAACTTTTAATCAACTTTTAAATTCCAAAACTTGAGCGCAAGTTTTGAAACATTTCAAAACATTAGGGTTTAGAATTTAAATATACATCAAAATTAAACTATTTAATCAAAATTTAAATTCCAAAACTTGAGGGCAAGTTTTGAAACCTTTTTCAAAACATTAGGGTTTCAACTATTTAAATTTCAAAACAACAAAACTTTTGGGTTCAAATTTAAACTATAAAACCTAAATGGCAAAATATGAAACGTTTCATAACAACAAGGATCAAATAACAAATAATTCAAATTAACATTTAATCACATAATTATCCATATTTGGCTTTTTTAATGATTTCTTGCAAAACAATTTATCAATTTACTCAAAATAATTAATCAATTATCACATAAGGAAACAATTATCTTATTTATTGATAAATATCTTCAATTAGATCAAAATTATAGTCAAATATATCATATAATCGGATTAATATTGATCTAACATGATAAGGTAACTATCCATAAGCAAAAACAGCAAGAAAACCCGAGATACCCTCCATCTGACGAGTTGACTCGTAGAGTCAGGCTTGGACTCGGCGAGTCCAGCCTCCAAAACACCAAAAAAACGAATTTTTTGAACATGTAATGCATCAATACAATTGAAACCAAGCTAGGCTCTGATACCACTGATGGGTTTTGGTCATAAGACATCCTATGTGCTCATACAAACCCTAATGCTTGGATCTAGGTTTCTCTATTGTACATGCTTTGAATCCAAGACTATAAACCCTAATTCTAGTATATGAAATCGATATTAACATATGAATGGGTTTAAGAACATACCTTGATTGTTATATAGCAATAACAATCCTAAATCTCCTTGTATTGAATTCGTCCCTAAGGAGCCTTGGGAAGGTCTTACACGAATTCATGAACCAAGGGGTGTTTATATAGGTGTTCAGATAGGGTTTTAGTCCTTATCCTTATCTAGTTGCTTGCCCACCAAGTAACCATAAGATAAGTCTTAGAAACCCTTATCCTAGTCGAATTCTAAGGCATTATCTCCTTAAATTCGTTCACCCTATATTTAAGATAATCCTTACCTTATTTTGTAACTATCACATAATTACAAATCAGCCCCTCTAGTTTAATTAATTACACTTGATCACAAAATTAATTCCTAATTAATTATTGACCAATATTAATTAAACAAATATGATTTCTCCTTTAATATATTATTCTTATAACATATTAATAAATCATAATAATCTCTCTCTCTTTATTTATTTCTCCAATCAAGTTGCTTTGGTGAAGGCAACCCAAAAGGACCATGCACCATCGGGTCAAGTACATACCAAAATAGTTATGGACTTAGACACTAATCCAACAAGTAAGGAATCACTAGTAATCGCCCAACCCGAGGCATAGGCCTCGAAAGACAAGGGGTGAGACGAAGTTCCTAGTTCGCCAACCGGGGAAGGCTTCCCCGGCTGGAAAGATCTTCCAGGTGAGCCCAGTACACCCCTAAACATGAAGACGAAATCGGGATCAACTGAGAGTGAACCAGTAAACGACAAAGGTTGTGTTATCGAAGAACTAGGCACCACCACACTTCTTTTTGCTCAGACACATAAAACTTACCACCAAGAACACCCTCGATACCACTAAGGAGCCTGGCCACAGATACAGTCCTACGCACCTTACGAGGATGGAGACCCGCATCATCGGATTTATTTTCCTCATCTAAAGATGGCACCACACTTAAACTTCACCTTTTTCGAATAGGGGCATTACCTTTTTCCGCCTGTACTCTCGCATGCAAACTAGAAAAAGCTAGAACCGGTGAACGAATTAGGGAAACTACCCCAACAGCTGGCTGGGAAGGCGAAGCAGGTCCACTAGAGCCAGAATTTCCCCTTTCTACCGAGGGCAATCCAACAAGCTCTCGCATGCGCTTTTCAGACACGGGATGAGGAAGAGCCTCTAAAAGATCAATCTCCCGATGGCACAACTTACCCTGATAGTGACCATGTAGGGCCATCTCCAAGGAAGTATCCGCTTCAGCACCTGTGAAAACAAACAACAAGAATAAGACCTCACGAGCCAAAAAGATACCCTATTCTCATTCCTTTTTATTTTTTCTTTTATTTTAAAAAAAGGGGGGAGATGAGTTAATACCGCATCTCACAATGAAGTTGCGCCATCTTCCCACGAGCCCTCCAAGCGACACTTATACCGGTCGATGCAAGAATGAAATCTTCCCAGTTCTTCCCAATGATAGTGATGTTTCCCAGTCGCTTGCCAAGAGTCAGATTACTCCAAAACAACTTGGGAAGACGGTCAGGAAAGTCTTAGATTCTATGAAAACCACGCCCCACAAGCTTTCGGTTAACCCAAAGCCATTGTTGTTGCCATTTTTTCTTTGGACCATCTTGTTCAGAAATCAACTGACGAATGCCCCTTCTCTTCGCTAGAGTGCGGACTCCGGAATTCATATTCGAACAAAAAAAGTAACTGAAAACCCAAAAAGTGGGTGTATAACCCATAGATCGACAAATCAGTTCAAAACCTACGATCTTATTGACAGTGTTAGGGGTTAAATCGTCAGCGGAGAAGTCGTAATGATGCACAATCATGTCAAAAAAATCCAAGGTTGGCAGGCACAACCCCGCGTTGAACGGAGGAATTGGAACCCCTACTTTCCCTTGAGGATAGTCGTAGATCGATAACCCCTTTGCCAGAATCATCACACCGTGCTCCTGTAAGAAACCGAAACGATCTTGCAGAAATTGGAATTCCTCTGTGGTAGGGAATCTTCCATAACGGTCCATTGTCAAAAACAGATGAATGATAGAAACGAAAAATTTGTAAGATGCTTCTATTGATACAACGAAAGTAAACAAAGGAGGTGAGGATGGAAGGTCTCGGGAAAAGCGGGGATTTTAAAGAAAAAGTTGGTGTAACGAACCGTCTTACGATGGATCTGACACACATTAACGATGTTGTCTAAGGCTTGTCAAATAATAGAGATAATCTCATACATACACGTGTTGAAATATAGGCTGGAACGGTGACGCTGTCAAAGCCGATGCATACACCTACAAGCCTAAGGGAATTGTTAACGTATCCATCAGGGAGAACGTCAAAATAGGAGAATTCAAACTAACACCGGGCTTGGCCTGGTCTGAAGCCAAGGCTGGGACTTCGCCAACGCAAAGATCACTGGTGTGGCGGTTAAGGTGCAGAACTGCACCTTAACCTCTTCGCCAAGGAATTACATCCCGGTAAACATGGGACCAATCAGAGAGTTCCACTTGCCCATTAGACGATAGCCACGATCTTCATAATAATTAAAAGATCTCCCTCTAGCCAATGAGGGAATGAGGGAAAAAGACGTAACGGAGGATCCTCCAATATGGGTCTACCATGTCGCACCCCACAAGGGAATGCTCAATAGAATCAGTTGAGGGACACACCTCTCAAACTGGTATAAAAGGATCCTTTTTCCTCACGAAGAAGGGGACGGAACTCTTTTCCCTGTGATTTACTATTATCTCTTTCAGACCTCATACTAACTTGATCATCGGAGCTTCGTTCCGGGAATTCCTCCTGGATGTCGACTAACAATCATCTTTCTCTTTTGCACTGTGACATCAGGAGAAGATACATGCACGGATCTCATCTATAGTCCCAACTCAACCCTCTCCAACATATCACAATAACACCCTACGTGAGACAATCATTAATGAGGTGTTCGGGGATGTTGATGTTTATGACTAACACGACCTCGACTGCTTGATGCTTAGTTCTTGTGTTTTCAACATCGCAACTTCTTAATACAATCTCGGATTTTAATTATCTTTATATCTACGTATTCGTACTTGAGTCTACTATAATTTTCGTTTCGATAACTCCTATTAAGAAGTAATATATTTTTACTTATGATTTTATATAAAAAGGTTCATACATACATTAATAAAAAACACATGTATATAAAAATTGTAAATAAAAATATATATTACTTTTTAACGGAAGTAATTTAAACGAAAGTTATAGTAGATTCAACTATGAATACATAGATATAAAGATCAATAAAATCTAAGAGTGTATGAACAAGTTACGACGTAGCATGATATGAGAAAAAGTAAACAAACTACTCATAAGTATTGAATAAGTATTGAATGTGTACAAAAACGAGAATGACTTATGTTGCAACAAAAAAATATTAAGGACTAAATAAGCAAAAAAATATTAATGACTAAATCTGTTCAAAGTGAAAAGTATATTATCCTATTAATTCATTTTTTTTCGGTTTATCTGGTATAGTCGGTTGTAAGATTAAATATGTACAGTTAAACAAGTTGAAGAGATATATATAAACAATAAAAAAACTTAATGACAAAATATGTATAAATTGAAAAATATATTACTTTTAATTTGTAAGTCATTATCCTTGATTTTTTTTTTAATTAAATTTCTCAAAAAAATCAAGATTAAAACTAAAAACTATAGATAGCTGCATTAACATAATCACTTTCGCAACTTCAATTCATTATAATGCTCCAAGACAGAAGATCAGAGGGTGGCATTAGTGACCACATCCACTAAAGTCATGAAATTTTGATTAGAACTCCCGTTTGGTCCAACTGCCTCGTGAGCAAGCTCTTTCAAAGTTTCAATCCTCTCCTTCAGCTTTTTCGACGAATCATTGAGCGATAATATATGTTCAAGAGCACAACGAGTTCCTTCTTTCGTGAATTTCCCACCTTCAATTCTCACCCCTATCCCCCAAACTCTCTCAACCATCCAAGTATTCATCTGTTGATCTCCTAAAAACGGCCTACATATCATCGGAACACCAGCTCCAATGCTCTCCAACACAGAGTTCCATCCACCATGTGTTACAAACACACTTATTGCGAAATGCTCCAAGACTTGTACCTGTGGTGCCCATGATACAACTTTCCCTAATCCATTCGCAGTTGTTCTCTTCAAGAACCCATCTGGTAAATGCTTCATGAAATCGTTGTTGAGTGACCAAAGAAACGGGGTTTTGGTCTCTTCAAGTGTTTCAGCCAAAGCGACTATCTCATCTGGCAGAAGTCTGCATATTGTGCCAAAGGAGATGTAGGCCACTGATCTTGGCTTTTGGCTATCTAACCAAGAACTGCATGAAAATTCATCAAATTTGGACGTTGGTTTTTGTTTGGAGATGAGATGGAAGGGACCAATGTTGAGAAAGTTGTTGAATTGTGAAGAGAGGTTTTTGGTGAGATCAGTGTCTAGTTCTTGAAATGAGTTTATTGCAACAACGGTGGCTTTGTCTAGGGTTCTTCCCATGTTATGTAGCATGGTTGAGAATGGTGATTCGAGGTTTCCAAAGAGGACTCCACCTGGTAAGTCGCCTAGTCGAATTGTTGAGAATCCAGGGATCAAGTCAACCACTTCGTTGTCAGGCCCAACTGAATTACCTGTTAAGATGCATGTCTTAATTGTTGTATAGTTTGTGTATAGATTTGTTTATTGAAATAAAAAAGAAAAAGAATACGTTAAGATCATGTTTACTTTACCTTTGAGTTGAGCACCTTTTTCCCTAATGAGGTCAGTGTAAAAATGTGCAGAGAGAGAACAAGCTCCGGCAGTCCAAAACGACACCCAAGGAATGTTCAAACCCTCCGCCATCTGACTGGAAAACCAAATAAAAGCATCCACCACCAAGCAGTTGATTCTCAGTCCGATATCCTCCTCCGCCACTTTCACACCCCTCCTAAACTCCTCCTCCGCCACCGACAGAAACAAGTTAATATCCTCCTGAGGCTTCCCCACAAAAGCATAATCCTCTGGTATGCCGTCGGAGACATCATACGGCCGTATGTTGTCACAACTGAGCTCAGAGAACAATGTCCGGTTAGATTTTCGGGTGTTGAAGAAGGAGAAAACCACCGTAGGGGAGGCAGAGGCTAGTCTCTGGACTAGGCTTAGAAGGAGCGGAGGGTGAGAAGCGAAAGGGAATGCAAAAACTGCAACATGTCTCTCCCATACGCCGCCGTTAGTGGTGGTGATATCCATTTCGGTGTTTTTACTTGTGATGGGAAATTGGAAGTTTATGATATGTGAATTTATAGGACGATTACTTGAGAAAATAAATGTTGGTTGGTGATCATACAGCAACATGGTTGTTGCAAGGTGTTGGTCAAGGCAATGAGGCCCGGAGACTGGTGGTGTGTGGCGTGTGCGTTGGTTGAGTCGCTTCAATAAATTTGTGGCGTAAACAGTAGGTGGAATGAACGGCTCTAAAACTCTGGACACGCTATAAAGTCTGCAATTCATTAATTACGATATTGACTTGTCAGTAATAGGTGTGTTATTTAATTTGTACACTTTGAAAAATGAGAAAGTTGGGGGACTAGTCTTTTGCATGTTGTTAATGGCTCAACGCGTCTAAACAAAACATACATTGCTACTTAGGCCGGTCGAATTCGTGGAGAGTATGTAGTCACAATTTGTATTCAAGTAGTTTTAATAAAAAAGTTGATTAATAAAAGGGATAATGATTTAGGAGGGTAATTTGATTTCTAGTTTGTCCGTATTAAGTTATTAATGTTTTTTTTGTGCATATTATACCAATATATTTATTATTTCCATTTAGAAATAATCTTTTTTACCGGTTTCTTCCTGTTTAACCGGTAAAAATGACTATTTATAAACGGTAATAACAACCATATTGGTCAAATACTCACAATAAAACTTTAATGACCTAATACGGACAAACTGGAAACCTAATTACCCTCTTAGGTCATTAACCCTAATTTTAAAGGCATTGAGAATACATGAGCATTAACAGTAAACTAATTCGTTTAGAACTCGCGGCGTCCCATATCGACCAGAAGAAGAACCTGCTACTCCTCTATATGGCGAAGCTCTTCATCTATAGTCGTCCCTTCGGGGACATCCGATAAAATTGGAATGATACAGAGAAGATTAGCATGGCCCCTACGCAAGGATGACACACACAAATCGAGAAATGGTCCAAAAAGAATT